CATGTTAGCTCAGGGATTCTGGGAGTTGAAGTCCACAAGTCTTAAACCTTACTGAGTTTGAAGATCTTTGCACTACCAGTTTGGTGATTGCATGCTTGCGCACACGCAACTTACGTGAACCTAACACACACACACACACAGTTTTCCAAACACCAGCCGAGGCCTGGAGCGTCAATCAGCTGAGAGAATAAAGAAGAGAAAAGCGCAGGGGCAGGTGGGGGGTGCTAATCCTGCGCTTTGTCTCTTCTTTCTCCTCTCAGTCTTTTTCCCCCTCCTCTCAGCTGATCACCAGAGGCTTTTTTCCCCCTACCTGTATGGCCAAACCGGTCCGAACCAGTGGTATACCACCACTGGTGTAACCCCAAAAGAAAACAGATTGGGAAGGAAGGAAGGAAGGAAGGAAGGAAGGAAGGAAGGAAGGAAGGAAGGAGAAAAGTATTAGAAGGAAGTTGCTTTCTTTATTTTAGTGGAGACATGAGTTAAGAGGACTGGATGCTGACTGCCCCCTCCCCATCCCTTTGATTTCAGAGTCTCCCCAAGAATGAGAAAGAGGGGGGGAAAAATTCATTGGCGACAGGAATACTGTTTCCACATATTGATGCGCGAACCTTCAGCATCCACTTGTCAAAAATGGATGGGTCAACTCTGAATCGAACCTGTCTGAGGCCAACTTCATAGTGGCCACAGACTATGGGGAGAGGAAGGGGCACGGTGGCTCAGTAGCTAAGACGCTGAGCTTGTCGATCAGAAAGGTCGGCAGTTCGGCGGTTCGAATCCCTAGCGCCGCGTAACGGAGTGAGCTCCCGTTACTTGTCACAGCCTCTGCCAGCCTAGCAGTTCGAAAGCATGCAAAAAATGCAAGTAGAAAAATAGGGACCACTTTGGTGGAAAGGTAACAGTGTTCCATGCGCCTTTGGCATTTAGTCGTGTCAGCCACATGACCACGGAGACGTTTTCGGACAGTGCTGGCTCTTCGGCTTTAAAAGGGAGACGAGCACCACCCCCTAGAGTCAGAAATGATGAGCACATATGTGCGAGGGGAACCTTTACCTTTACCTTTTTATGGGGAGAAGATGAGGGGCAACAGCTAGAAGGTCTCATAGACAAAATAAAGAGCTTTTCCATGAGAATCAAAGACATCCCAATAGGTGACAGTTGGAGGAGGAGCAGAAGTGAGGGAGGGAGCCCACCACCTGCTTTGATTGGACAATGTGACCTGTGACACCTGGGCAGGGAAACTTTTGCTCTTTTAATTACGTGGTAATCATGGGAAATTTTTAGAGTTGGCTTTCACTAGCTGTGCCGATGTGATGTGTCCAATAAACATGTTCCTTGAAGAACGTTCCTTCCTTGGAGTTCTGATTGCTTCGGATGTGTTACTCAGAATGCTGACAGGTTGGTTTAGACCAGGGGTCTCCAACCTTAGCAACTTTAAGACTTGTGGACTTCAACCCCCAGAGTTGCTGCAAACTTAACCCCTCTCTTCACTGTCTCAATTGTAGGAGCCAAATTGGTCGGATCATGGAGCTGTTGTCTACCCCGCACAGCATCGAGATCAACAATATCACCTGCGACTCCTTCCGAATTTCTTGGTCCATGGATGTTGGAGACCTGGATAGGGTTACCCACTACTTCATCGATTTGAACAAGAAGGAAAATAAAAGCTCCAACAAGTTCAAACACCGGGTGAGCCACTACATCACTGGTGTAAATGTTGGTGTGCGGAGTAGGGTAGAAATCATTACAGCATCTTGTCTCTCCTTGATCATTCCTTTGCTTCATAACTATTTTTTTTTTACTCCTGTTGGATCATGCTGGTGGAAGTTCTTCTTAGAAGAAGTCCCCACCAGTTAGGAGCCTTCCAACTTGGTCTATGTTGGATTGCAGCTCGGGTCGACAAAGCTGTCCTCATTTTCCTAAAAATGTTATTGTTGCATTTTCAGCCCCACATGCATGCAACCTTCTCCTTCACAGCTCCATACAAATGATAGCTGCCTTCCTATCTAACCAACATGGCTACTCCGGGGATGCTAAAAGCTTATTTATTACTGTGATTTATGTGCTTACTGTTCTGAAAAGCCTTTCAATTATACACCCAAACATCTGAATAGTTCGGATGAAGAGTAAACAATATCAACTAATTCCCCTTTGGAAACCCCCATGAGCATGTCTGTACTATGTCCTTAAGGTGGGTTATTAGTGATTCTTCTGGCCCAGAGAACTATGGGAATTGTAGTTGCTAAACCAAACTAGAGTTTTATGAGATGGAATTTTCTCATCATTAGGGCTGATGGCAATTGGAAGGCCACATTTGTATTGCACAGGTTGCTTGAAAATAAATCTGGTATAAATATCATTCGTAGTTCACAATGTTCTCAGGAAATTGACCAGCAACCATTCAAAAAATAAACAAACCCATAGGTGGAGAGATAACAAGATCATATTGGAAACTTCCGCTTGAAATTCTCGTGGTCAAGGCTGTACTTGATTTCTGGAATGGTTCATTCAGTTCAAGTATGATAAGATCCAATCTTTCACCTGAACTACATTTCCCAGAGCCTAGGGTGTTAGGAATTACAGTGGTACATCATTTCGGAATTCTTAGATCTCTTACCCCGATTGGTCTCATGCATAAAAGAAAATAAAATTCCTTTCCCCGACTGAAGTTGACTGATCCCGGAGGCTAACTTTGGTTACAGTACATGCTGGGAAAGGAAATCTCAACTTTCTCCGATCCTGAACAAGGATGCATAATTATACAGGTAGCCCTCGACTTAACGCTATTCATTTAGTAACTCTTCAAACTTATAAAAGGACTTGTGATGACCCGTGGCATGGCACAAAGGCAACACAGTCAGATAATCAATAAGAGTCCCTTTATTAGCTCCAACTTTCCCCCCAATGTCCTGGTTACCTTCTGGCTGGAGAAAAATTCTCCCAGGAACAGCCTTTGGTTGCAGAGAATCAAGTCCAAAATGTGGTCAACAAAAACTGTAACTATAAGTCCAGTCAAGGCAAAAGGAGGTAATTAGTCCAGCAGGACAGGAGCAAGAATTCCAGACATGAAGGTACGGCACAACACAGTTGGGAAGACACCAGGAACGCAGATAAGCAAAGTCAGCACAAGATAAACTCACGTTTGCTCCCAGCAGTTGCTGCTGCACTCAGCATGCATTTCTTTTAAACTCCCTTCCCAGCTGTGGCTAATGAAGGGAATCAGGGCCCTTTCCTCCCCTGTAAGCCATGCAAACCATGTTGCTCCCTTCTCCGTTCCTCCCTGCGTGCCCTAGGATGAAGAGGGGGTAGGCCTGGGTCTTCCTCTGAACTCTCTCTCCCTTGTTCTACCTCAGCTGGACTTTGCCCTTCCCCAGTTTCCTCCACAGCCAATGGAGCCACACTCCCACTCTCTGTCAGCTGTTCGTCTTCCTCCTCTGATTCAGACTCCGAGGGGGGGCATAACAGCACTCAAAAAAAGTGAACAAAATTTGGACACTTGGCAACTGGGATGTATTGATGATAGTTGAAACATTCTGGGATCAGGTGATCGCCATTTGTGACTTGAGCAAAGTCAAGGGGGGGGGGGGGAAGCCAGCTTTGCTTAACGACCCTGTGTTTCACTTAACAACTGCAGTCCTTTCACTTCCAACCCTGACGAAATGGTTGCTTTACCGCCACCTTGTTTAGCAACGGAAATTCTTATCCCAATTATGGCCGTTACGTTGAGGAAGTCCTGTAAAAGCAATTTCGAAATGTAGCCACAGGATCAGTCAGATAGGCTCATTCTGAACCATGTTGCTCACATCTTCTTTTCCCTTCGAAATGGAGTGACTAATTTTGATGCGTCTTAATGGGGTTAGTTGCTATGGAAATGCTGTTTTGCATTTAACTATTTTCCCCCCCTTCCTGCAGTTAGCTGGTTTCCTCCGCTTTTTTTTTTCCCCCTGGGCTCCTTTGGTATGTGCTGTTGCCACAGAAACAATGCTGCAGAGGAATATTAAAACCCGTTGGGGAGGCCTTGTTCTCTCTTAAAGCAATGTTCCCTAAAGTGTTACTCCTCGTGTCTGATTAGCTCACCCACTTCAGAAAACTTCATTTTTTAAAACAAAACAAAACAAATCACGGTAGAGACTACTTTTTCCTGAAGTGATCAACCTGCCCTTGGAATGTGCACCTGTATGCATAAATGGACATGGTACACTTATGCTGCCCTTAAAAAACATACATTTAGAAGACGTTGTAAAAGAGGAACTGACCTGGGGTGCTCACATTGCAGTATTGGTCAAAAGGGCCCAGCAGAGATTCTACTACCTGAGACTTCTCAGGAAACAACTGAATGAAAAACTGCTGGTGACCTTCTACCGTTGCACCACAGAGAGGATCTTAACTTACTCCACCTCTGTATGGTTTGCCAGTTGCACAGGGGCAGATATGACAGCGCTCCAGAGGGTTCACATCATTGCCCAGAAAATCATTGGTTTCCCTCTCCCCTCTTTGGAAGAGCTTTATAGCTCCCGCTGCATTAAGAAAGTTCAAAACATCCTTAAAGATCCATCTCATCCTGGGCACCCTTTTTTTTTTTTTTGAACTATTACCATCTGGCAGACGGTACAGGATAATAAAAACAAGGACAAACAGGTTGGAAAACAGTTTCTATCCCAGGGCAGTAACTCTTTTGAATTCTACTGTATAGTATAATATTAATGCAATATCAGGGGTTTTCAATTCAATTGTATAGAATGTGAAGAATTGTATAGAATGTGTTTTATTTTTTTTATGTATAACGTACACTAAAGAAAGCATTTAATTTCATTCTACGAGGTGCAATGACAAAGTAAACTAACTAAGCAGAACATTTCCCTTTGATACTCTAGTTAACTATTTGTAGGAATTTTATTTTTCTTTCTTTCATTTGGATGTGGATTTAAACTTTTGCGCAATAGAAGTTTACCTCTTCAGCAGAATTTATGGGATTCAGGTTTGATCTTGGGAACAGGTGAGATTTAAATAATGCCTCAGTAAGAATTGGAGGATGGGCATTTGGAAGTTAACGATTTGAACAAATCACTGAATCATATGATGCCCTCTCATATGATTGTCAAATCTTCATGATATCTTCTAATAGGACACAATAAAACATGAACCTTATCACTTATTTTCTAACCTAATCCCAACTGGTGGTTGAATAGTGTGTGGAAAATATAAAACCATAAAAACATTTCCGTTATTTTATGGGAATATGTTATCTTATTCATTAAAAATAATTGATGGCAATAAATGTTGTTGTGCTCAGCAGTCACAAAGTTCTCTTACTTAGTGTGGTAATCCTCCAATTCTCTTAATTTCTTGGCTGCTTTCAGTCTGTGAGTAAGTCAAAGAAAAGTCCCTGCTAACAATTCTCAAAACAAAATCAATCATCTTCTACAGGTAGCCCTCAACTTACAATAGTTAATTTTGTGACTGCTCAAAGTTACAACGGTGCTTGTAACTTTTTTCAATGGTGAAAAAAGTGACTTATGACCATTTTTTCACACTTAACGACCATTGCAACATCCCCATGGTTCCGTAATTTACATTCAGATGCTTGACAACTGACTCAAATTTACGATGATTTGTCATGTCCCGGGGTCACATGATCCCCTTTTGCGACCTTCTGACAAAGTCAATAGGAAAGCCAGATTCACTTAACAACCAGGTTACTAATTTAACAACTTGCAGTGATTCACTTAACAAATAGCAATAGCAATAGCACTTAAGACTTATATACTGCTTCACAGTGCTTTCCAGCCCTCTCTAAGCAGTTTACAGAGTCAGCCTCTTGCCCCCAACAATCTGGGTCCTCATTTTACCGACCTCAGAAGGATGGGAGGCTGAGTCAACCTTGAGCTGGAACTTCCTGGCTGTGGGCAGAGTTAGTCTGCAATACAGCACTCTAAATACTGCACCAAGACAGCTTGATTGCTGTCCTTCCTTCCTTCCTTTGCAATAGCACTTTGGCTTATATACCGCTTCACAGTGCGTTGCAGGCCTCTCTAAGCGGTTTACAGAGTCAGCCTATTTCCTCCAACAATCTGGGCCCTCATTTTACCCACCTCGGGAGGATGGGAGGCTGAGTCAAATGTGGGAAGAGAAATTGTAAACTGGAGCAAAACTCACTTAACAAATGTCTCACTCAGGAAAATAAATGTTGGGCTCAATTGTGGTCATAAGTCGAGGACTACCTGTATTTACATCATGTGAGAGAGGCGGTTTTATCAGTGCAGTGAAGAAGGGACCAGGGCAGAGGCTCAAACAGCATCTCCAAAACATTTTGAAAAATCTTTTTAAATTAAATATTTGTACCACCAAATAACTACACACATTTTTGTTAATGTAAGAGAGCAATATCTAATTTATCTAGTTCCCTTAGATGTGTACCTTACTGACTATTGTAGTAACAGTTTAGAGAACATGAGTGAAGACACTTAACCAGTCAAAATCATCTACTAAAAAGGATGCAATATAATACAGTGTTTTCAGAAGGACCAACCTAAACAGGATGTTTTTCTTTCTGTTTCACCCAAAAAGAGGAAGATGTCAGGACACTGCTTGTTAAGTCCCACGTCCATAAAACCTTAAAAGCAAACTTTGCTTTTAGAGAAATTTAGGAGATGCTTAGATTGAGCTGAATGTAATGGAACTTGCCTTATGAGTCAACTTCCTACTAAATGGAATATACTTTCAAACAACTAATTTTTAAGTATCCTTCGTATGACTAACCTTTTGCAACACTCCTGACTGATGGATACTTCAAATGGAAGGTGTGTTTTTTTTTAATGGAACAATTTGTCTGGGAGCAAAAAAAGTAATGGAAAGGTACGGCGTGTTGGTAAAAGCTGCTTAAATATTTACAAAGGCTTACATAATATAGTTGTTAGTCACAAAACAGAGTGGGAGAACTTTCTTTCTCCAGTATCTGGATGCTTATTGTTCTTTTTGGGGGGGAAAGGATATTTCATTGAATTGTAAGAATGGGGTAAAGTAAGATAGGAAAGCTGGTTGGGTCCCTAAAACGATGTTTATTCACTGGGTATACATCAGGAACTCAAATTCTACGGTATAAAGTATGTTTGGACAGTTTGCACCAACTCCCCCATAAGCCACGCAACCCACATTGCTCTCTTCTCCGTTCCTCACTGCGTGCCCTAGGATGAAGAAGGGGTGGGCCTGGGTCTTCCTCTGAACTCCCTCTCCCTTGCTCTACTTCTTTCCTGCTCTGGCCAGCCGGACTTTGCCCTTCTCCAGTTTCCTCCATAGCCAACGGACCCACACTCCCACTCCCTGTCAGCTGTTCATCTTCTTCCTCGGATTCAGACTCTGACAGGGGCATGACAGGTGCTGAGGGATGGCGGGGAGGGAATAGAGATAGCTGGGGTTTTGTAGCCAAAACAAAATGGTTTCCCCTGAGAACCAAGGACATTCCCACAGGTAGCTGGAAGTAGGCAGCTATGGGTGTATTACCTGGAACCCTGACCACCTGCATCTTCAGTTCTCTAGGGGATGAGGGGGCACAAGGTAAGTGATAAAACTTTATATCTGGAGATTTTATAGTACATTGTAAAGGTCACAGAAAGGCTATTAACAAACAGGTATCCTTGGGAAAAGTGGCATTTTTGTTTCTATCATGGGATCCAGGTCACTCAACAAAGTGATAGAAGGGATGTAAACCACAAGAGGTTGGAAAGTGCTATTTAAGGTGTCACTGTCAAGTTCCGATGGCAAGTTTTCTCAATCTTCACAACTTTTAAGATGTGTGGCTGGGTAATTCTAGGAGTTGAAGTCCACACATCATAAAGTTGCCAAGGTTGATAAACACTGTCCTGGAGTTTGTGGAGATTATCAGTGATCCAGGTCATTGTTGTCTCAAAGGTGCTCCCCCCCCCCCCCCCCAAAAAAAGATGGTGTGTGTTTTTTTCAAAGAATAAGGGATTCAAAAATACATTTAAGTTTGGAATTGAATACCCCTCCCTCGACAGAGGGGGAGGAATAAGACGCCACCTATTTCCATTCTGTAACACAGTCCTTTCAGTGCGCAGTGGTGAGAGTGCAGTACTGCAGGCTACTTCTGCTGCCTGCCGGCTGCCTGCAATTTGGCAGTTTGGTTCTCACCAGGCTCAAGGTTGACATAGCCTTTCCGAGGTGAGCAAAATGAGGACCCAGATTGTTGGGGGAAGCAAGAGGCTGACTCTGTAAACCGCTTAGAGAGGGCTGTGAAGCACTGTGAAGCGGTATATAAGTCTAAGTGCTGTTGTCCTTCCTTCCTTCCTTCCTTCCTTCCTTCCTTCCTTCCTTCCTTCC